CACCAACACCACCTTGTCTTCCGTCTACTGCCACCGGGGCCACCGCTTGATATGAGGAAACGACACCTCCAGCTGTTGTGTAGTACACCTGCCTCCCAACCGCTTCGTATCCAACCTGTGCAAACCCTTCACTGTAAGCTCCAACCTTTGCCTGATGAGCCTGCTGTGCTTGTTGAGCGTGCTGTACTTGCTGAGCTTGCTGCACTTGCTGAGCTTGCTGCACTTGCTGAGCTTGCTGCACTTGCTGCACTTGCTGCACTTGCTGCACTTGCTGAGCTTGCTGAGCTTGCTGTGCTTGCTGTGCTTGCTGTGCTGCCACTGCAGTATTGTATGCCTGAGCGTCCCGGTACACCTCCGGTACCATCCTTTGAGGTACTCCATAGTACGCCTGACCAACCGGTCCAGTTGCGGGTCTATGAGCCGGCGCCTGGTACACACCGGTCGGCGTTGAAATGAGGTAAACCGGCTGCTCCGGTCCAGACTGACCAGCCGCCACCGGATAACCCCCAGTGTTCATGTGCCTCTCCGGCATATAGGCAGTAGGCATTTGCACAGGTGTCGGCATTGCCACCGGAGAAGATCCTTGCACTGGTGCTAGGTTTTCTGGAAGTTTCTGAGAGTAGTAATCAGGGGTATAAGCCCTAGGATTTCCGATTTCATCGCTTTTCCGATGATAGATCGTCGTCGGCTCATGACCAGCGGCGATTTGCATCCTCTGCAACTCCTGGATCTGCCTCTGAATCTCCACCTGAGACATCACCTGTTCTCCGACCACCTGCCGATCCTCCGATCCAGCCAGAGGGCTTTTCACAAGCGAATCGGGAACCGTCGGAGGAGTAATCGATTCGGGAAATTTCTGAACCGGTACAGCCGAGTACCCCTTATCGAACCCGAACAAGAAATCAGGGTTCGTCGGCGACGCCGTGACCGGAGCCGTTGGAGAAGAACCATCGGGAGACCCAATCTGAACCGAATTCAGAGCGTCGACGAACCACTGCCGCTCCGACTTACTCTCATTGGAGCCGAAGCTAGCGGAAGGGTTGTTGCCGAGAGGGAAGAGGAAAAGCCTGAGCCTTGCGGGTTTAGCGGAAGCGCGGTAGAGGCGGTCGTACTCGATCATCATGTGTTCGAGATCCTCGTCGTTGGTGACGGATATGAGGGCGTCGAGATCTTCGCCGGGGAGCTGGTACTTGAAGCAGACGACGTCGTTGGGTGTGTCGCAGAGGGAGGCGAGCTTGGAGGCGAAAGCGGAGAGCTTGATGTTGCGATCTACGGCGAGGATTTTGGTGTCGCCGCCGACGTAAGCGAGCTGGTGGTCATGCGGGCGGGGCTGGATTTTGCCCCCGTAGCTGCACATGAACTTGACCTTGTAGGTGGACGTGGCGGACGGTGGTTGGTCGTCGGCCCAGGAGGCAGTTTCGCAGTCGATTTCGCGGGAGCGAGGGGAGGACTCGCGGGAGTCCGGGTAGTAATTCTCCATTGGAGAGGAGGAGGAGGAAGACGACAAGGAGTGAAGATTAGGGTTGGGATTTGGAAGCCATGGGAAATGACCAGGGTTTTGGTGATCTTGGATTCGGTGGGAGATGGGAGAAAATGGAAAGATTTTGGGTGTGATTTTGGTTTTACACGAAAATGTTTAGTGGGGTGGGATTTTTTATTTTTTTTTATTTACAATGCTTTGGCATCAGTTTCTAAACTTTCTAGAAGGAAAATTCTCTCCAACAACCAAAATAAAAAGGAAAATTCTGTGGATTATTTTTTATTTTTTAGGCTAAATGATGATTATGCACTAAACTTGTACTTAATTTTCAATTGACTCCATTTTTTTTAAAGAAAATTAAGGATATGAACCTTTTTTCAATAATCTCCCCTATTGTCTAAATCATCAAAATTTCATTCAATTTGCTGTGAAATATAAGGATAAATTGGTCATTTCATATGTTAAAAATAATTAAATACTATAAAATAAAATAAAAACTTTTAAAAATTATAATAATAATAACAATAAAGTTTTTTATTATAAAAAAAAAGGAAAAAAAACCCTTCCCTTCTTCTCTCTTTCTGCAGTGTCTCTCGGCGTCGTTACCCATGTTCCACCCCACCTTGTCGTCGCCGCCACCCACCCAACCTCTCATCTTAAACCAATTTGCCCTAGTTCACATCCTCTGCAAAGCAAACTCTAATTTTTTCTTGTTTAAAATTGCATAAATCAAAAGGAAAAAAAATCAAGATAAGGAAAAGGGGTGACAATATGAAATCATGTCTTTTATGATTAAATGAAATAATGGAAACTTTTAATGGACAATCAAGGAAGATTAAAGATCAATCAATAGACGTTTTTCTGTTTGACAAGTGGTGGACAAAATTTCATTAGTTTAGCTTAGATTAAAATAGAATATCGTTTGTATCAAAAAGGACATAGGCAAAATAATTTTTTATGCACATGTTTGGCACTGCTTATGTGCTCATTAGTGCCTTGCTTTTCTAGAAGCACTTTATAGGCACATTAAATTTTATTAAATTCAGCCAACATGGTATAACCTAGTGGAAAAAATGGTCTTAACTTGCACATCATAAGTCTCAGGTTTGAATCCCCACTACATCATAGTGTGTATGTGTATGAGAAACTCCTTCTCATATAGTTTAGACTATCGTTTGTACTAAATTTTTTTTATTAAATTCAAGTATTTATGTACTATGCAGAGGTGTCAAACAGGTCGGGCAAATATTTAGAGTAGGCCCATTTAATAAATGGATCAAGTCAGGTCCATCCATTAATAAAAATTATTAAGTCAGGTTAGGCCCACGACCCTAGCATATCTAGGACTGGGTCGAGCTCGTGTCGAGCCACTAAACAAGCAGATATAAGCTCACGCCAAGGTCAACTTATGTATTACATTTTTGTTATGTTTTATTTTTACAATTTCATTTCAATGTTTTTTACAATTATATAATAATATATATATGCTAACAAGATTTATTTATGGTTGAAAAAAGAGGTCAATGCCTTAATTTGAAGTACATTTAAATAGAAAAGTGCTAGACTATTAAGGTAAAAAAAAAAAAAAAAAAAAAAAAAAAATAAAATACATTCAAAAAAAAAAAAAAAAAAAAAAAATATTATTTCTCTAAAATAAATATAATTTAATAATTGAAATTTACACGAGTTGCCCCGTTGGGAAAATTGAGCCCATTCAATAATCCGTAGACTACTGGGCCTATTTTAAACGGCATGTTGGAAACCTCTAGTCATAGGTATGAATCAAAACTCAGCGGACAACTTCTTGTCCCATTTGTTGGATCAAATTATGCATATATAGAAAGCCCAATAAATCAATAACAAGTTATGTGCATAAAAGCCGTAAAAAAAGTGTTTCTCTTAGGCCCCGTTTGGTTCATGGAATGAATTTTAAGGGAAATCATTTCCCATGTCATTCCCCAATGAATGAGAATAGAATATTCATTTCCCACGTTTGGTAATGCTGGGAAAGTAACCAGGAAATATCACTTTATTTCATTTCCCATGTTTGTTTTGAGTAGGAATAGAAAACAAAGTTTGTATAAATTTTCAATTATACCCATATTAAATCAAATAAAAAAAGAATGCATTTAATGTAAAATTGTTGATTTTGGGTGTGTTTCTATGTTTAAATAGTTCTTGGGTTTTTTTTATAAATACATGTCTAGAATTGGGTTTATTTATAAATTTGTATATTATAATTCTAAATTATTAATGGGGATAAAATGGTCATAAAAAATATGTATTTAATGTTAGTTCATTTTCCCAAACTTTCCCATGAGGAGGGAAAACAAAACCCAAGTTGAGAGGATGGCTTCACTTTCCCCCTTATTTTCTCATGTGACAGGCAACGATTTCTCATACCTAAACTTACCAAACATGGAAAAGCAATTGATTTCTCATTCCCAAGTCTCTTTCCCATGAACCAAACGGGGCCTTAGTTTATCCAATGCTATGTTCCATGTAATTTGATCTCATCTATGCAAAAAAAAAAAAACAAACAAACAAACAATGAGACTCCTCCAGTCCGACCCACCCAAAGATTGGGGGTTGTGTTATGTCAGGCCTAACTTAATCGGGTCGGGCTCATGTCATACTCTAATCGACCTGATTTGGTTGCCAAATGTTTTCAAAAGTATTTTTTTATGTTCAAAAAACACTTTTAGCCATTTTAGAAGGGCTAAACTGCCGAATACCACCAAGATCTGTCACGCTTGTTGAATTCAACATCCTCAATTATTTTTTCAATCAATTTAGCCTTTGTACTAAATATAATCGCCAATTTAGCCATTGTCTTTAGTTTTTAGCCAATTTCATCCAAATCCGTCAAAAAGGTGACGTGAACAACCGAAGAAATCGACTTGTGTATTCCACTGAAATTTTAATGGATTTTAAAGAGTTATAAACTTATACAAAGTCAATGGGTTTTAATGGAGTTTGTTAAACTTTTATCATAAAATGAAATTGAATATACTTTTGTGGATTCTTTTGGATGTTCTAGTGATTCATTTTCTTACAAACGGTGTGGGTATTAGTGAAAGTTGAGGCCAATGTTGGGTCAACAATAGCTAAACTTGATCATATTATGTGAAGAGGAAGATAAATAAATCAAAATCTCAATTAAATATAGCATCTAGGTCGCAACTTTAACACAAAAAAACCTTGGGAATTAAGCGACTTTAGCATCGACTTAAACTTCAATTCAATTTGACTTTAGGAGTTCCTTGATATTTGGATTATACGAATTGAAAGCATGAATGCATATTTTAGTAGAGAAAATTTAAGTTTAACTCGAGAAAATAATTACATGTTTCTTGCTTTGATGGGCCGACCCAGGACTATGTTCTGATGGGCGGGTCTTCCAGGCCCCGCCTGGCCCATGGACGATTTCTTCAGTTAAAACTCAGAAACGACTTCCACTCACTCACTCCGAAGCTCATCGATCGAACCAGAAAGAGAAAAACATTGAGTCCGTACAGCAATGGTGAAAGCAGTGGTCGGAGAAGAAACCCAGCTCAAATTAGCTGAGGATCGCCTCGAGCAATCCTCTACGCCTGCCCAGGTTCTCTTTCTCTTTCTCTCTCTCTCACTCACAAAGAGAGAAACATGGCTGATTCTGAGTTTTACGGTTTTTGTTTGCTATGCAAGTTCAGGTGGGTCTTCTCATAGGCAAGCTCAGCTCTTCTCTAGACCGAGGCTTCGTCTTCGATATCGTCCCAACCCCACCAAACGACGCCGGAGCGCCTGCTTGTTCCCTTGTCGAGCCCACCAAGGACGACAAGAGAAAGGGAACCAAGCCCAAATCTCAGTCCTCCGATTCCTCATCTCTCTCCATTGACAAGGATTGGGTCGCAGAACATGCTCGCCAGGTCAATTACATATAAAAATGTTCCCATAAATGCGTAGTTATATTTGTATATTCCTTCTTTATATTGTTTGTATCTATAAAATCTAATTTTGATATGGTTTCTGGGTCTTGTTCATTGTGCTTGTGTATGCATTTTATGGTATTTTAGGTGTCTAGAATGTTAGTGGGTGGCATGAAGGTGGTTGGCATTTACATCTGGGCAAGTGAAAGTGCGTTTAAGAATTCCAACATTACGCTTTGCCAGGTATTCTTTTGGCCCTGAATTGGATTAATCTTGTTTGGTATATCTACGTTTTTTAGCACAGTTTGATTTTGATTGCTGTATAGCATGCTATTTTGGGACTGTGGCTTTATGAGCTTGCTTGTGTCGAGAAGGATGGATGGCTTTAAGCGGGCAGTGCTCCACTTAGTGACACAGAAAATATCTAGAAAGGAAAAAATAAGAGATAGATTGGTGAATGCAGGATATCCATTTTTAGCTTTTGACTGTTAGATTTTGATACATTCTATAAGGCCTATCAAGTAAAGCTGAATTTCATGAAATTAGGTCTAATACAACCATGGGCTTTAGTTGATGCGCCCTTTTCACTTTAAAAAACCTAATATAATATAGCCCTCATGGCCATGTTAATTTGCACTGACCAAGGAGAACCTGGTCAGGTTCTCTGTGATGAAACTTTATAATTATCATAAATCTAACAGGAAAAGTATTCTTGGCTGGTTTACTTGCAAAGAATGGGTCAGCTATGATAAATATGGGACTGCTTATATTCATTTTAAACTTTAAAGTTATCCTATGCATATACTGGGAAAAAATGACTTTTAATAAATATTAATGGAAAAGGCTCCTTGCAGACTGTAATGGGAGTTGCCAAAGCAGCGCCCTGCTCAGAGAGTGATTGGGATGAGAGACTGCTTATTCACATCTGTTATAGTCCAAGGAGGTAACTTCCCTACCTCCCTACCTGAATTCGATAATGTTTATTGTCCCAATTATGCTCTCTTAGTTATTGTAAAAGGGTATTTGACTAAAGAGGCTATTTCTGTAGGTGGACATGTCGAAATTGTGCGGTTGCTTCAAATATTACATCAAGCAGCCTAAGGCCTTGTGATTTTAAAATGGGAAGGGTCCTAAATTCCCTTCAAAGATTTAGGTGCATGTACAATTTTGATATCAGGTACTGTCTGCTTTTCTTATTAAGAAACAAAAAATGGAAATTGATATCTTAAAACTTTTTAAATATAATTTCATGTGACTTTCACATGCATTAGAATTTAGGACCCATCATTGTGTTTGAATTGAAGTTAAAGTAAACAATGAGCTCAGTCCAAACGAAAGCAAACAATGATCTGATGCTTCAACTATCAAGTATATCAATATCTAACAGCGATGATACTGGAGCCCTCTTGAACCTTATAAACTAAGCTACATACCTTATTCATCATTTTAGTTTATCTCTTATCCCTTATTACGTCACGTCCAAAGACAACACTGAAGTTGATCCCCGTTTCTCTCTGCCTGTCTGCTGTACTCTTTTTTTTTGGGGCTTATTTTGAGGTTCTACCTGGGCCACTTAATAGAATATTATGCACTCATAGTACTGAAGGTCATATCCAATTTAATAATAGTATACTTTATTCCAGTACTAGCACATAATGGTATTTAGGTTGTCTCATGGTAGTTATTCTTTCCCAGATTGCCCATATTTCACAAGAATTTATCAAATGTTCAAACTTTTAGTGAAGCTCTTCGTCAGGGAATTTCAGTTCATGCAAAAGATCTTAAAAGTGCAAAAGCTATGTATGATGGAAATTTGGTAAGTAGCTCATTGAGTTGTTGGTTTTTAAAATTACTGTACACCTTTTTCGAATATGCAAAAGCGTCGTACCTGCTCGTGCCTGTTAATGCTCCGGATGACCTCGAGTCTTGTTAGTGTTCTGGATGACCTTGAGTTTGTTATATGATATGTTGATGTCTCTGGCGCTACAATGGCTAAACATATCTCTTAAAGTCCAAAATAGTTTTTTGAGTCTCCGTTGCATATGCAACTTGTTCTTTTCAACTATGATGTCTTCTTTGCAAGTTGATTGAACTTTACTAATTCTATGTAGCTGATATCAGGAGTGTGCTGTAGAAAGTTACTTGTAATATCTGAAGACTGTAAGTGTTGCTTTCTATCATATTAAGTAATTTTAGGTGCAGAAAGTTGATACAGCGCGTCATACGACAAGGATTGTTTGGTTTGTGCTTCTCTAAATTATTTTTTTAAGCCAGGTTATAATCACTATTTACATCTATCAACAGATAAACTTACTCATAAGTAAACCTTTTACCACTTCGTGGATAAAAAAATTTCTGATGCGTGATAGTGCAGTTATGTTGACGGTCATGCTGTTGAGTCATATGCAATCAGTTACTTATTCGCAAGATTTTGTGATCATTGAAACTTTGATAGCTGATAGTTGTAACCCACGTTATTGTTTTAAAAATTTTTTTTTTTTTTTTTTTTATAAATATGAGTGTAACCATTTGCTAGCTGTAAGAAAATATTTATAAAAGCCTTGATCTTTGTCTGGTGTAATGGTGTACTTTAAGCCATAGATCCAACTTTCTTTTAAACCAAATGTTGAATTTTGTTTTTCCCCTTAATTTTCCACAATGAATAAGCATGGTTTCTAGGTTACTCTTTTAACCTCAAGTTCTCATACGGTTTTCTCTGTCTTGAATACAACTTTAGGTTTTTAACAATGATCTATGCACATCAGATGGTCTGCATGAAGTCGAACTGCTTCTACCATTTATGAAAGATACTGAAGGTGTGTTTATGCATCATTTAATTTTGGGAATATTTTGTTCATTTGTTCTTTTCTTTTCTTGAATTGCTTCTTCCATTTTGAGTTTATATTCTAACATTCATCTATTGTGTAAAGCCTGCAGCCAAAAAGAAGCTGTTGGTGTTCTTGCTTTGAGTGGTTCTGTGTGTTCCTTTGCCTTCATAAATCCTAAAGAACCAATTTCACAAGCAGTTGCTGATATAAAGGTATACAATAGATAATCACTCTTAATCCTCCGTATCTTAGACCGAAAACTAATTGTTAGTTTAGTTTCTAAAGGCTATTTGAATTCACATTTATCACAAGTTGACTGTACTTCATTGTCATTGGGCGTCATAGGGTGTGCATGCTTGTTTAGAAGTAAGATTCAGATAAGAATTGTATATCAAAGTTTGTGATATTGGTTGGATGTGATGCAGGGCAGCGGCTATAAGCTGCTGTCCAGCGACCCAAACATTCCAAAATGCAAAGAATAGTAGGATAACGCACTAGGATAGAAGTTGGAACGAAGATAATTGAGTTCTAGGGCAAAAATCCCAACAACAACAACAACAACAACAACAAAAAAAAACTCTATAGACTAAAGTCTGGAATTATATTCATAAACAAAACTGAATACAAGAGTATCTTAATCGCCTATTTATACTAGAGCACACCAGCCTAGCCTTTCCTAGTTTATTAAGAAAACCAAATTGAAAAAGGAAATTTAAAACCAAATCCTAGTAAGAATAGGAAAACAAAAGAAGTAACTAATCATTTGAAGGAACTAGAACCCTGGCCTAATTGGCTAACAGGCCCAAGTACTCGTGGAGAGCCTTGTAGACGCTCCTGCATCAGGATGGGATATATAAAAATCTTTATATAACATCTTAGATTAGCTCGTGAGTAGATTAAACCTAATTAAACTTATTCATATTGAGATGTCTTTACAAAAGAAAAAAAATCATGTTCATTTGATGTCATAATATGTTTTGAACGCTTGAGCCAACCCTCAATGCTCTCTTATATTAAAAAATTAAAAAATTAATTTCTTATTTATATTTAACTTAATTCTGGTAAATAAGTAGTTTGGGTCAAATGTCCAAGTGGGAACTTGCCAATTTCATCATCAATTTCCATAACTTTATTGCAAGGATTTCCTAAGCAGGGTTGGGTACCGAAATCTATAATGCATATTGGTTCCAGAGTTCCAATAAACTTGGATGTTACCACTGGGCTGGACACATTGAGAGAAGCTATAATGTACTAGATTTGAATTCCAATGTACCTGAACGCAATAGGTAGACCCGTCAATTTAAAACAATTGGCTGGATCTTGTGCATATTCTGGAAATCTCAGTATTAAAGTAACTTTTTTCTATTATATGATGAAAAATTGTTTAACCTATGATCTCAAAGTTGTGTTATCTTGGATGGAACATTTCACGTGGGGAAGCTGGTCACTAAGACTTCTGATGTGTTTCACTAAGACTTCTGGTGTTGTCTGGAAAATTTATATGACTACTAAATGGTGTTGCTTGCTAATTATCGGCACAATGGCCTTGTTTTTAGATATTTTCATGCTATTGTGTTTACTAGCTTAATTCCTTAGTGTGCTTATATTCTGTAAAATCATGAATTGATTTTATGTTTGTAGGATGACATTATCATGAGTTTGCAGAGTAGACTAGATATCATCTGTGATGAAGCAGATGGAGAGACAGGTCCAACTGAAACCGGTGGCCAGCAAGCAAGAGATGATACTGGTAGCCAGGAAGCAAGAGATGGGATATCCAGTGGAACACCTGTTTTTCAAACTGTTCTTCAATCGTTCAGGTCTATTACCTGCTGTGTTACTATTTTTCTAATGTTTTAATAAAACTAGAGGTTCGCTATGAATATGATGAATGCTGATTGATTATATGCCCATCTATGCGTTTTCATAGTCCTTTTGTTATATTCCATGTTTTAAAGGCATGTTGTGTGGTGGTTTAGATAAGCATGTTTCAAATTTGATTACATTTCAGCAATTGGTTGAATATTTTCTTTGAGTGAATAACTAAAGCAATTTGGTCATTAACTTCACTAACTTTTTTGTATATCGGAATGATTCTGTAAATATTATGGTGTTGCACAATGTGTTTTATTTAATCAGCTGTGGCATGATGACTGATTGATATCACGATACTAGTAACCTGTACTACAGGAGATATGCTGACCAACCCCTTTCCCATTTCCCCTCTCTCTCCCCTCTTTTCCCCCCTCCCCATTCATTATGTGGGTAGTTTCACTGGTAGCTACTTAAAGTTTTCTGTGAGCCCCTTTAGGCTACCAACTAAATCTTTGTCTGGAAATCTGCCACCTTTACTGCAAAATTTTATGAATTTCCTGTTGGAGATAAAATTGTATAAATTAAGGATTACTATCTTTCAAGATTATATATTAATATTCCCTGCAAGTTACTACTCATTGTTTCTTGCACCATCAGCTTATTCTGTATTGTTAGTGGGTTTATATTTCTTTTCATCAAGCAGAAGGGTGAAATCTGAATCATGTTTTATGGCCAAAATTCTGTTAATCATCGGTGATTTATTATGTCACATTGCTGAACATAAGTTGGCACACTGACCACATTTGTTATGCATTTTAAAACAGAGAAACATGTAGTCTCTCACTTCCCCGAAGAGTCTTTATTCCTTGGTTGCGGGTACATTTGTGTGCGACTACCTACAACCATCTGAGACATTTGAGGTTTGTACTTATTACTTGATAACTGAGGTTTATACTTCTAATAAAAGATTTTTTATTTATTTTAAAGAACACCTACAAACAGAAAATTGGAAAATGCAAGGGTGTTGTACCCTTTTTGTCTATTCTGAATAGCTCTGCATTGGACTAGATTTTGAGCAACATGAGCTTTTCAGTTAATCTCTTTTCAGTTCAATGCCTTACTTGCTCTGACCTTGTGCTTTCCATCCTCCCTTAGGTTCTAAAAGATCGATGTGTCGAGTTGTTGTCTATGGAAGCTCCAACAGATGACTCAGCAATATTGGAACCCGAAATAGAAGCCCCATCTACAGTCACCAAATCTTTTGGGATGTGGCAGTGCCTTTTTCCTCGGCATCTAGGTCCTGTTTGGAGAAGAGTGGACTCGACATGTTGAGGGGAGAAAGTAGCCGAAAATCTATACAGTCCTCTAATGTCAACATCATGGCTGCTGTTATATTCCTTCTCCTCTCTGTCATTGTAGGATACGTTCTCATATTTGTCAGGAGATCATAGTTCAAATGAAGCCTCGGTTGTCCAATCTGGGTAAACATTTTGTGGTCCTATAAAATCAATTAACTGTTTTCTGGATTTTCCCCTCTCCGTTTTGGGCAAAAAATATGCAGTTGAATTAGTTCTAATGAGGTTATAGTTTCACAAATACTTGTACAGTGCATTTTTACATTTTTGATATGGATATATCTAAACTTGAATGCCTTAAAAGTTACATTGAGGATGAACATTAATATGATAACAGTCCGTAAGATTTTTCTTTTTTTCATCCCAAACAATAAGAGAAGATATAAAAGGGGAAGAAGACAAAGTGATTGAGATGCGTTTTAATGAAAGTTGTGATATCTAGCATCTTTAAAATGCTTCTTCATAACTATTTTCACTGGTTTCACATTTATAAGACTCCAAAAAGATGAATTCTAATTGCCTAAAAAGACTTCTCAACCAGCTCCTGAAATGACAACTATCTAAAAGAATAAAAAAAGGAAGTCGCTGCCTTGGCTGTAACTTCCACATCTAAAATTATTTCGAGATTCAAATCATTCCATTGAAGAGATTACAACAGTATAGCCAATCTTGCATAAAGAACAAGACAATTGAATTAAAGAAAGGGATTTGCAATGTAACGAATCAAAAATTGGTTTCACGGGCAAGAAACCAAAAGAAAATGTTGAAAATAAAAGACCGTACTTATTATATGTATACACTAACAGTCTTGGCTAATACAAGAAATGAAGGAGCCCGTTTGTCCACTTTGGCTACTGCTACAGGTGCTTGCACCATGTCCACATTGCTGCACTTCTGGTTTTGTCGTGCTAACCTTAACAAGCGCAAAGCGAAGTTGGGATTTACGACTCATTGACCAGAGCTGCACTCTCTCATTGTGACCAGAACGTAGCTTCAACTCAGTCTGATCCTTTTCGCTAAGAAAATCCTCTTTAACCTGCTTCATCGGTATGGAAAACTGTTGGTATTGTCAGCCGCATCAGTATCAAAAAGTTCCTTCTCGATTACCAATTTGAGGTGTCCACCACCACTGCGACTAATCATGTTTTTCATGTCTTGAGGCATCTTTGGTTTCGGTGATGATGGTAACTTCAAATCTGCACTACTTTGCACATGAACCAGCTTTTGTTTCTTTTGCACTAATGCTTCATTGTTGTAGTCTTGACGATCACTCCCAGAATGAGAAGAAATCCTCTTCCTTTTCATGTTCATACAACGTACACTTTGGACAGAATCATGAGAAGCATGTGGCAAAATCCTTATTTGAGTCCTCCTCATACTTGACCTTTTCTTTTTGGGTATGTTAATGTCACTGAAGGGGAATGTTTTCAACTCTGACATTTTCTTTTTAGCACAGAAACTGATGAATTCTGCAATAACAGTTTTTTCGTCAGAAACCCACTTGGTTGTGAGTCCATTCCCACCCTCCAACTCCATCAATTGTTGGGTTGCAACTTCAGCCAACATATCCAAGGAAGAAGAAGAAGAAGATAATGATGATGAAGCCCTTCGGTTTATCTTCCTGACCACGCCCCTCTTAGGAACCAACCACCCATCAAATCCAATTCCAGACCCATGAAGTGGGTTGCCGCAGCAGCTTCTCAAGGCCATGGCCATGGTTTTCTCAACGTCTGACAGAAGATTCGAAGATTTTGAAATCGACCCATAATGAAAATCACCCTTCATATTTCCTTTCATTCCCAGATCCAAAAAGAACAAACAGAACTTTCACCAAAAAAATAAGAACAGAGCAAAAACAGAACGCTTCAAATTCACAGAAATAAACCCTACTCAGAATGAGAGAATGGGATTAGGGTTTCACAGATTTTCTTTCCTCAGTGAGTGAACTCAACTCAACTAGAATTTCACTTTCATTTTCACTTTCACACACAGACAGAGAGAGAGAGCGAATAAGTTTCCAAATTGTGATCGGAGAGAAATATATGAGGCGGTGTTTAAACCCAACTGTCAAATGGCACTCGCTCACTTCACTTCGTCGTATCTGTGTGTGATTCAAATTTCAGATTAGAATTTTAGTAGCTTTGGCCCCAAGCAACTAACAACACAAGATTTTCCGACCGTTGGAGATCCCAACTGCAAGCGCGTTCACGCGGCTTTTAAGTTTTTCCTTTTTTGACCAAAAAATTGTGTCTTTCTTTTACCCATTTTGTTTTTATTTGTGCCCACCAGTTGAGTGATTAATTGCCACATTCACATATTCATTTAAGTTTTATACATTTTCGGCATCGCCATAGCCACTGCATCACCTTTTCTAATGTTCATTGATTTCTTTTTTAATTTCGGTTTTTATGTATTTACGTTGTGATAGATTCAGGTATAAATTAGAATATTTTAACTGTATAGCCGCCCGGCTATACTCTTTAAATGGAATATTTTAACGGTACCGCCGCGCGGCTATTCTCTATAAATAGAATTATAATATAGCCGTTCGGTTATACCCCTGTAAATAGTGTATTTTAAACGTATAGCCGCACGGCTGGCCTCTGTACATAAGATATTTTGACAGTATAGCCGCTTGAGCTAATTTAGTATAGTATAGCCGCACGGCTATACACCAAAATAGACTATTTAAAGTACATCCGCGCGGCTGTACCCTTTCAATATTTTTCCAAGATACTTCCTAATTACTGAAAATTAAAGTTTTAGAAAAAATCATTGACCTAAAGATACAAAGTTTATATTTATGTTTTTTTAAACCTCTCCTAACAACATTTCGTCAGCAAAGATAAATTTCGTCAAGAGAGGTATAATATTTGCCGGCATACACCTGTGTCGACAAAAACCTTATAAATGCATAAGACATTTCACACTGAAGCCCAAACAATAAGAGAAGGAAAAGGGGAGAGAAGTCATAGAGTGTTGAAGATGGTATTAATAAAAGATGTTTATCTTTAAAAAAAAATACATGGAACTTCTAAAACCATCAATGATATTCAGGTTAAACCAATGTATCTATAAGGCTCCAAAAACAAGAATCTTCAAATTGCCTAACAGAGCAAAGCAACCTTAAAAAGACTAAATTCTGTCTCCCCTATAAAAATAACCAAGAAAAACATGAATCTCCACCAGCCCCTGAAAAATCAAGGCTTCAGAATAATCATATTAAGTGTGTGTGAATGTCCATCATCAGGGGCTATATTTACTTGGAAGCACCCTTCTCTGATTGCTTCTCATCTGCAATGTCGCTAGGGAGGTCAGGCCCCTGAGGAATTTTTCCAGGATAATTAGTTGTCGAAGAATCAGACCCCATCACACTGCATAGAGGAGACAAAAGATTAAAATTCTGCATAAGCTAATAAATGTTCTCGAGGTTTTGTTTACTACAAGCTCACCTCCTATCAACAATTATCACCGAGCGAAGCTCACAATTGGCAAAGCTGCATAAACAGAATTCCACTCTTAAGCTTAGTATTCATCCAAAAAACACAAAGAGAAAAGAAAAGGACTCATCCTCCTCCATGTCAAAACTAACGATCCTAAACATGAGGAACGCTTTTACACTGATATGATTATAAACATTTCCAGCGCAGAACAATGTAATAGAACTAGTAGCCTGATGGGCAAGTGTGCAACTGTCTAGTTAGCAAAAATAGTAGTTACGACCAGATACGGAGCACCACCAGATCTAGACATCACAATATGCAGGGAATAGTTACATCTAAAGGAAAATAAGGATACAGTTCTACCTATGAAGCATCAAACAAAAGAATAGAGTGGCTATTTCTAAATAACAAATATTAAGAAAAACGCAAAACACATTGAAGCAAGTATTATTGTGTGTTTATTGATAGATTGAAGTAAATATCATTGAATTAACAAACATAAATATTCAGAATGTACAAGAACATTCTGAATAATTCTCACACAGAGACACCATACAGAATGTAATCAAGAACAGAGCTTGAAAATGCAGCAAAGAGCAGCTCAGTTATTTATTCTCGTAGTGTATTATTATCATAAGAGATTTCATGCTGTTGACTTAAAAGTAGGGATAAAAGAGCCACCATAACACTTACTGTGTGCATATTTCACTCTTTATCGATGGATGGCAATCATTTCCAAAAGCACTCAAGGTATGATACAAGAATCCACTGTGGGTAACAATTGCAATCTCCTTCTCTTTACGTGTCCACAACCTGGACAAATTGAAAGTGGGAAAAGAAAAATCAGTGAACACCTTTCCATAGTGCCAATACAAGAACCAATGTCAAAAGAGTCGATGGCTGAAATCTATAATTCAAATCATTGACATGTAAGGTCACAAGATAGTATGATCTATTAGATTCATTGTAAAACTAAACAATTCCATCATCTCCCTTTTCAATTTCAGAAAGTGGTCAACTCTGAAAATGATAATGAAAAAAATGTATGCTATATGTTCAGAAGCTAGCAAGATTGAACCCAATGATTTCTTCTACAAGGGGAAACCACAGTAACTAAGAAAATTTGTTGCAATGATACTTGGGTCAACATCTGCAGATATGAACTAATGGACATTTCCCAACAACTATAAATAAATTTGTGTAACAAATCAAGGTGCTTCAGGTGAAAAAACAGCGTGATGAGAATATCATAATACTTATAACTGAACTTGTAAGAAAACAACAGTTACAGCATGCTAGCACCTCCTTAAAATCCATGTGGCATACCCACAGCATAAAGGATATGAAGAGATTATGCTGTAATACTAATATATAGATATTATGGCTTTGGACATAAGAGTTCATGTTGTTCACCCCAATTTTGAGTTAGTTTATAAATCATTCTAGTGTGCTAGTGACATAGACTTCTTTTCACCTTTTCTTTTCCTCAAAGATTCTTATACTGATCGTGAATAATAAAGAATGCAGTCACCAGAAATTTAGCGAAATGAATTAGGGTAATCACCAGTTCAAAAACTTCAGTCCCCTAGATGCCACTTCTTCATTCTTCTCTCTAATGTCAGGCGTCCACAGAATGTCATCCTCATTCTCTATCTAAACAAATGATAAACAAGAATATATTCCAATCAATCTAAGTTGAAGATTTGACAAGCAACCAAAAACAAATAGTGACAAGAAAAATGGCAGGCATAGCTTTTCTCCACTTTTAAAAGTTACAATAAATCACTTGCCAGTGAAAAATCAATTGCAGGAAAAAGAGGCCGGTACTCGCTAACACTTCTTCTCTTGTCACATGGATGAACCCCCTGCAGCACAAGAGAAAACACACACATTTGAGTGCAACGTCCAGTTAAAACCCCTCTTACTCAATGATTAATGTGAAACTAGATAAATAAAATATGTTCAAAATAAACACTCAGAATAGGTTTGTAATTTTAGGAGCAAAAGGGAGGCCTTCTCTGAGCTTTAGACACATAGTAGTGTTGATCCAGGTATCAAAATTGTATAAAATCTAAAAGTAGGAAGGACAAGCGTCTGACTGGTCCAAATAAAATAGACTACATGTAGATAACACCAAAAAGGATTTTGTTGTAAAACTTACTACTAAAGGAAAAATATATGTACATGTTGGTGAAGCCTTATTGGCATGGTATAAATTGAAAGCAATCCAATATATTTGACCTTCACCCAGTTAGAAAGTTATACCATTTGCAAAGAAAAAATAACTACTGAAATCAGGATTATCAATTTTCCTTCCCCTTAGCCTTGTTTTTTCGCACAGAGGGAGAAACAATACCCAAACCAGGCTCTATCTCTCTTCGTGTGCTTTTTTTCTGTACCTTCTACACAAAATTTACATAGCTGTTACTAGTTTTAACTTTGAACATGACTTACCAAATGTTCACGGCAAAGCTCAACCGCTACAAATGGTGGGCAGTTTAGACTTGAAATTGCAGGATGGTTACTGTTCCCTGCATTTGCAACCATTAGAGGACGTACATCTATCCCGTCTGAGTATGCTCCACCCCCGAAGACACCCACTGCTGTTTGCATGGTCCTACATGGCAATCATTGGTCAAAACAGGTTGCTTTTTCTTTTTTCAACTTCCACCAAATGAAACATCCACTCTTTTTTGTCTGGTATGTAATGTGCAGACTCCAAGAAATAAAAGTGCCTTGTAAAACGGAAAAAGTTTTCAAGGAACATAGACCCAAGCAATCATTCATCCACTTATTCATGTACATAACTAAAATAATAACTCCTAAAGCAAAAATAAAAATTTACTCTATTACATGAACCAAATAAATTTAATTTCTCTAGAAAGGGACTAGTTATCTTAGCAATTATCACTTTTTGAAAAGAGATCCATCTAAAATCAGAACCATATATTCAGCAGCCACTAAATTCAGGCATATACAAATCACCTACATAAGAAAAGTCGTATTAAGGATAGCATCGACCTGAGTCTGTATGCAGTGAAGCAGATCTCACATCCTACCCATCTGGAGTTATTATAGAAGTCCCAATTCACAATTCTAGATTGTTAAACCTGACATATATGATAGAATTAACTATTTATATATTTCCTTTGGATGCATGTTCTTCACCTCCTCAAGTTTCTGAATTATTTCAACAGCACCTCATCATCGTAAGGTATATCTGATTTCAAATGTTCATAACAAAACTAAATACCACCTTGAAAAATCACTCCCCACCCTATCACCCCTTCCCGTTCCCCCACCCCTCCCTACAAAAATAAATAAAAATAAAAGGAACCCCACTTTAAAAAAAAAATTATAAAGGAAAACATATAACTGTCAAGTACAAATTAAAAAGCTCCTATTGGCATATTAAAGGAGCAGCCCTCCAATCAACTGAAAAGGAAGTAATCCTTTATGAATCTGAGGTAGAAGCAAAGATGACATTTAGAATCAAGTGGTAAAGGAATAAAGGTGCGTAGCTTGTTCCCTCTTAAATTAGACTAATGGATAATGTCCCCTAGTTCTCATAAAATATGTCATATATTGCTATCAGTTACATATTTCACAGAACTAATGGGTTTGTCTGAGTTTGTGTATGAGATAATCAGTGCATATATTTTATCTCGAAACATCTATCCTAAATACCAAGCATCATCCAATTTCACAATAAAAAAGAAAAAACCTAAACAAAACAAAATAAAGGGGAAGTGATTCACCGAGAAACACACAATTTCACAGTTATGATTAGGATCCATGCAGCAGTTGATCATAGAAACTGAGAAAAAAATGGTATCTGAGAAGGAGATACCTTAACAAAGGAGATGTGATGACTAACTCAACTCTCTTAGAAAGTCCACATGCTTGAACATGCTTGTGTAGATTATCAACCTGTTATAAGGGCACAAAATCACTATATGGAATTTGTTGATTTATTGGGAAAAAATAAAAAGAACATACAGCACCCGACATAAGGAACTTAAAGGAGAGAGAAATCTAATGCAAATCCTCCTTATAAAGTTGTTCTTACAGTGAAAAACAAAGAAAGTTCTTTGATGCCATGTTTGGTACACCATTAAACTAAACAGTCTGAATTCAGTGTTTTGTAGAAGTCCAGGCTCTTAAGCAACCGGATTAAAACAATCAGGTAACTTAAGATCAGTAAACTCCACATAGGACTAAGTTGCACAAGAAACACATAAGCGCCCTTTTTTCTCGCAGCACCCTTTCTTTGGTGAGAATGACTATGCATTTTGATATATCTCAACATCACATTAACAAAAAATGTATTTCCAATAGCATATTGTTTATTATTATAAATATTTATTATGAACTTTAATGATGGGTTTCAGGTTGAAATGGTCATTGTACCAGCAACAATTGGACAAATGGATGTTTTTCCAGGACATTTACCTACTATTGCATGGGTTCCTATCAGTGCATAAATGGAATGACATGATAAAGTAATGCTGGTGGCTTTACATTAAGATAGTGGATCCAGTTTGATAATATGTACAATTCCATGACTACTCTGGCTCTCGATAATCCAATTTCTACACTCTATAGTTACTTTTGATGGGATGGCTATCTAATATTGGCTTTCTCTTTTCAGATCCTGTCAAAATTTCAGAAATTTTTTATCCACTAACCAAGCTATTTTGTATTTTCGCTAATTTTGATTAGATGATTATGGATTTCTGAATATGAACCTGAGTTTTGTACTTGTCTTAATAATTTTTTCTCATCCAACAATCAATTTTCATCTCAAAAAATTTATTAATCAGTAAAAATATTAAATTTGTAGTTCAGTTTGGCCTCCTATTGGGTACAAAACCAAACCCAGTACAACATAACCAGCTTCTTGGTTCAGTTCAACAACAAACCCACAACAATATAAAAAACAATAAGAGTAGTATATCGGTACAATCCACTTAAAAACGTGTGCTTGACATATACCAAACGAACGTGTAGAAAGTTCCCAAAAAAAATTAACATATTCTGATTCTCTCATACCAAACATAAGTTCAACTGAACATTCTCATTAGTGATTACCTGATTCCAGCCAAGAGGTGTAAGATGTGCATCAAAAAGATCATAAGACATGTATGCACTATGATCCTTTTCGCCTTCCACATTGTGAATCCCTTGTGCATGCCTTACCTGTATATATCATCACTTAGTAAAAAATACCCAAATGCACTCTACGACCAGTATTAAGTAAAATGAAGGAAAAAGAAATGAAGGGCCAGAGTTTGCAACAAACCAGGTGAAGAGTTTTAGAACGGTGCAGAGGGTAGAGACTTGGACCTGTAGTGGCATCCATATCTGCACCAATGAACCCCCCCAAAACCCAAACAAAAAACAAAAAAAAAAAAAAAAAAAAAAAAAAAAAAAAAAAAAAAAACTAGGGGTAGAGCACGCGAGCATATCCAAAGTATATATCAATACAGCACGATGAAAGAGACCTTCACATCTTCAGAAGAATATGGCATAACAATTAACATTCGTGTTCAGAAATCTAGAATAAAGGGCCCAACACCAGAATAAAATACAATTATTTGGCTTTACAGCTAAAAAGATTTCACCTTTTTTGACTGTAAAGGATCTTATGGAGGAATAAACGGATATCCAATTGTGTTCACCACTCAATCATCAATAAATAAATAAATAAATATATAACCAACAACAAAATCATACAAAACTTAAAACACAGTTTGATTGGCAGATCAGATCAGAGGCAGGCATGAAGTAAAAGAGATTTTTTTATTTTTTTATTTTTGGTCGAGAAGTAAAAGAGAAAAAGCAAACTTGCAAAAGAAAAAAAAAATGCATAATTGAATTTACAGAAGATAAGAGATGAAGAAGAGAACTGCAAATAGGTGTTCCCTACCTGGTGGTGGTGGAGGAGAGGAGGAGAAACAATGAATGGCAGAGCGCGGTGGTGAGAATCTTGGGAGCTTGGAAATGGGAGAGGGGACAAGGAGGGGATTGTGAGAGAGGGGAGGGGTATATATAGCAGAGATGGAAATGGTCATGGTTGATGGCTTGGGTGAGAGCTACACGTACGTATGTGTCAACTTGTGACTGCCTAGAGATACGTGAAGGCCGATTGTCCAATTTTCCATTGCACATGGCGCATTTGAAGCCTGTCTCTGGTTCCAGGTCTTGTCGTCATTGTACTCGGATTTGTTTTATTTATGTTATTTTATTTTCCTGATCCCCAAAAAGGCAAAAACCAAAAACTTGGAAGTTGGATGGAGGAGGGTCGTTGTTTTTGGACCCTATAGGGTCAATAGAGCATGGAGAGAGAGAGAGAGAGACAGGGACAGAAGCAAGCCATACTTCAATACTTGGCAGTTTTCTATTATAAAATAAAGGGATATTTTGGAAAAAACAAAAGGAGAGAGAAAAATTTTAAAAGAAGCAAAAATAGACAAAAATGCCCTTATTTATTTTTAAATTTCCTAAGGAATCCAATACATTTGCATGTCTTTGATTTGAAAATTGAGCGGTTTTTTTTGTCTTTTTGAAAAAGTTTTGGCTTTTTCCAAAAGTGAAAATTTTTTATGTCTAAAACCTAAAAAACCTTAAAAGGTAATTGGCTTGTTATGATGCATCGGCTTCTGCTAGCGTCTTCTTGGCTCTTGCAGCTTTTGCTCCATCTCTTACATTTGCATAGGTGGTGGTCCATGGCTGGCCCAGCTAATCAATGTAGTCGAAGACCGTATGATGTCTCCATTTAACGGTCTGGATTGAGTTATAAGCTTTTCTCCAAGTGAGGGCTATATCCCCAAAATCCATCTTCAAAAGTAGAGGTGGTAATATTGTACACGACACGAATTCACACAAAAAATTCAGTATTCAAGTCTGAGTTATCACGTCGTGTTGATATTGTGTTGACCCGTTAATCACCCGTTAAGCTATCGTGTCGTGTAGTGTCAATTAGCGAATACCCATTAACCTGTTAAACTCAATGGCATTTTTGTAAATTTTTTTCTTTTTTTTCTTTCTTTTTTTCCTTATCTTTCTTCTTTTATTTATTTATTTTTATTTTTTTTAAATTCTTAACGGGTTATCGTGTTGTGTCGTGTGATTTGCGAATTGTAACGGGTCGTATTCATGTTTGATATTTCCAACCCGTTTTCTTATCATGTCGTGTCGTGTCAATCCATTAAAAAAAATCGATTGACACGAACACTGCAAACACGACACGAATGCCAGGTCTATTCAAAAGTGGACTAAATGAATTTATTTTTTTTTTTTTTTTTTTTTTTTTTTTTTTTTTTTTTTAAATGAGCTTACAAAGGGCTAATTCCTAATATTTTTCTAAAAAATTCTTTTGTATAAATACCTATCTCATTCTTACATAATTTATCACAACATCTTCACCCATTTACATAATTTCTCACAATCTCTTCATTCTTTTACAAACTATCCTTCATCTTTTTAGATTTTAAAGTTATTTTTAGAACAATAAAAAATCTAATCATAAATATATAGGGCTAATCACGTGCCGATAGGTGGATGTCAAAATTCCTATCCCAAAATATTTTTCTCTTTTAAAATATATTTTAAATAGGATATAAATAGTAGCTTAATTCAATTAACTAATAAATTTACATCATATACTAAAAACTATTAAAATATTAAATTTAGCCATTTGCTGCTGGAGACGGTTAAAATGTAGCTTGACACTATTCCTTATAAAATCATTTTTTAGAGGGCTAAATGTAGCCCATAGCTAAATATAGCCACCCTCACCTGGAGATGGCCTAACTTAACTTGATTAAAATAATAATCATGTTGACATAGTCACACAGGGGACCAATCAAACCAAATTAACCAATAGTATCACACCACGTGGATACTGACCCCACTCATAACTATGTGTGACAAGGGTAGACCTTCACAACCAATCACTAAACTAAACAGGCTGAACCATACACCTTACCCTAGCTCATAGTACAAGGCACTGACTGCCCACCCACTTCGCGCACAAAAAGAGGTGCTTTGGAGGAGTTAGGGCTATAGTTAGGGAAATATTAGGGATTATTTGGGAAATTAGAAATTTAGCATTAATTAATTTTTTTTTTTTTTTTTTTTTTTTTTTTTTTTATGTACATGCCTTATATACTTTCAAAGTTGTCTCAGATTACCACATGTGCTTAGAAACGTCTCAAAATACCCCCTACACTTTTAAAAACTATCCCACATTACCCGTTCGGTCAGTATTAAGAGACATTCCGTTACATGGTGTGGACCCCACTTCTTTTAAATCGCTTAACAATGGAGAGTAAGGGTTATTCAGTTTCAGAAAAGGGAAAATTGGGAGAAGAAGGCCAGGGTTATTCAATTCATCGCTCATCCACTCTGAAATTTGTAGAGCATGGCCATAGCGACGATACCCTCGGAGCCGTTTGATGAAACCTTGGAGCTCAGGCTCCTTCACATCTCCCCATTCAACCCGCAATTGATGGAGCACTGGCAGAATGGAATTCCTAGGGTTTCGAATCTGCCAAAACCTACTGTGCAGAAGCTCAAAATGTGGGTGATGAGGAGAAGGGCAGCACCTCAGTGGAGTAGGATAGTGCACCAAAAATCCTAGACATATTTCATAAGGCTGTGGAAAGATTTTCATAAACCCTACCCTCTTCTCCCAATTACCCCTTTTGTGAAACTGAATAACCCTTATTATCCATTGTTAAGCGATTTAAAAGAAGTGGTGCTCACACCACGTAATGGAACGTCTATTAATACTGACGGAACGGATAACATGAGACAGTTTTTAAAAGTGTATGGGGTATTTTGAGACGTTTCAAAGCATAAGTGGTAATCTGAGACAACTTTAAAAGTACATGGGATATGTACATAAATAAGCTTTTTTTTTTTGTTACACATGTCGTCATTCCAACGGCTTAATACCTTAGATAGCTAAACTCACTCAATGGCGTCCAAAGCACATCCCTGATGAGGGCAGTTTTTCTTACTAGCGACTATACATGTTCTTACACATATTAGCACTTAGGCTAGTGTAATTGATCAGACAAGTACCAAGAGCTTTCGGTAGATTTGAAATGTTACAAAGCATGCTCGTAGTAACATAAATGTGCATTAAGGAGTAGTGTTAAAAATTAATACACACTTGTGTCAAAACTAGAAAAATCTAGAAAACATGAGAGAATATGTCTCAAGTTCAATTTTTTCCTCGCCGAAGTAGACATAGAACCATCAACTGATGCATGGGATATGTGGATAATTCAATGCATACGTTTTTGGGAACAAAGATTTATGCTGAAAGGTGGGCTTTTTATTTTAATAGAAGCCCGATATGAGTAGAATTTATTGGGCTGCCTATGGAATATTGTGGTTCTTAAAATTTTGAATCCAAACAGTTTTGGTAGGCTGACCAGCCCATACCCAAATCCATGTCATCGTGGAATCATTCTTATTCTAACCAAGTAGAGAACGAAGGTAGCAACGCAAACAGGATCACCATTCCCCGCCCCCCCTATCGTTAGGAGAAAAAGGGCGGCCTCTCTCATCTGATGTTGCTACTGCTTCTCATTCATAAAGCTTCAGTTCTTATGTCACCTTCAAGTTCTATATGACCAACTTAGTTGTGCGCGTGTAACATATTAACACAAAAAACATGCGACATGATGATTATATGTTGTATCAAAATTACCTGATTACAACACACATATAGTATTAATATCTAAATTCTAAATTGTGAAATGAAACTCAATAAGTGCTATAATTTATATGAATTGAATATATCACATAATTATGTCACGTCTATTAAATATAATGCAATAATTATTTATAGGCTTTATGATCTAGTGGTTAAAATTGATCCAATTATTCATAAGGAGAGAAAAAAAAAACTCATGGGCAGTCGCTAATAATTCCATGTGGTAAGGAGATTAATATATACATATGGGTTTAGAAGATTAGGGTGTCGACAATTTGATTAATTTGCCAAATTTTATCTATCTTGACAACCAAACCGTGTGTATTGGAAACTTTTTTAGTTGTGATGATCCTTTGAAATGCTATGCAGCTATACATTTTTGCCAAATTACTCAAAAATTAATGGGTCTTGGGTCAACGTATTTCAGCTAAGTCTACTACTATGATTTAACATTTCCCAAGTAATTGGGTTTAGACAGCTAATAAGTTAATTAAGTATATATAGTTGTAGTTTTCTGGCAATGTATGTTGAACCAAGAACAAATACACCATTATAGTCAGCCTTGTAATTAAACGCGTTGCAATTTTTCGACAAGTTTATTTAGAAAACTGACCAAGTTGGATTACATTTATATATACATATACACTTTTGTCATATTATTAAGCATCAAAGTGGATCCTAATCAACCAATAATCTTATTGATTAATGATTTTTCTTGTTTTATTTTTTAGAAGGCCCCACCTATTAATTTGACTGATGAAAACCAGTTTGCTTAATACTAGCTCGAAGATGCTTTAAAGGCATAAAAGAGACAAAATTATGGTTGAGTGTGAAAAGGATGGATCATATCACTTGGAATGAATTAATGCATGAAATGCCATTTTCTTCCTTAATGGGGCAGGTCGGGGAACCCATTCCCCAATGAAAGTGGGGGCGAGGTGAGGAATCCCTGATATGAATTATTGCTGGTATGAAGGCGGGGATGGGGATGGAAATGGCATACCCACCCCCTATTCGACCCATTGACATTCTTAATTATCGACCCTCTTAATAAGAAAGGTGCTAAAAAAAAAATGTAACTCTAAATAGGGAATTATTCATTAATTGGTAATTACCCAAAATCAAGGATAAATCCTAAATTGCTTAGTGGCAAAGGCAGAGTAGTTGGGTAAATGATCTTGATTGATCTGATTTGATCCTAATGTCGTGCCATAATTAATTTTGGCCTTATGAGCTAGGGCAAAGGTTATATAAGAGGGCAATTGTTCATTGGATCATACACACAACTTTTTAACGATAAACTCAATACAACCCTAAACCCTTCTTCAAGGCATACAGGTTTTT